TAGTTTTATATCAAGTATTATGATCCTTCCAACTTTGTTCTTCTTTCTCAAGGTTTCTGTGGCTAATCAGGGTCTCTTTTGTCTCCATATAAATTTTTGAAATATTTGACCTAGATCTGTGAAATATGTCATTGGTTTTAATAGGAATTACATTGAATCTATAGATTGCTTTGGGTAATATGGGCATTTTAATGATGGTAATTCTCCCAACCCATGAACAGGGTATATGCTTCCATTTATTTGTATTTTCTTCAATTTCTTTCTTCAGTGTTCTATAGTTTTCCAAGTACAAGTTCTTTTACCTCTTTCATTAAATTTATTCCTAAGTAATTTATTATTTTTTTGTTGTTGCTATAGTAAATGGGATTTTTTTCTTAACTTCTCTTTCTGATAGATCATTGCTGGTATAAAAAATATCATCAATTTCTGAATATTTATTTTGTATCCTGCTACTTTGCTGAATTCACTTATTAGGTTGAGTGGATTTTTGGCTGAGCCTTTATAGTTTTCTGTGTACACTATCATGTCATCTATAAATAAGGACAGTTTTATTTCTACCTTTCCAATTTGGATGCCTTTTATTTCTTCTTCTTATCTGATCACAGTGGCTAGAATCTCCAGTACTATGTTGAATAAGAGTAGTGAAAAGAGGCAGTCTTGTTTTGCTCCTGATCTTAAGGGAAACACTTTTAGTTTTTGTCCACTGACTATGATGCTGGAAGTCAGCTTTTCATGTATGGCTTTTGTTATGTTGAGGTAGGCGCCATCTATTTCCACTTTGCTGAGTGTTTTTATCATAAATGAATACTGGATTTTATTAAATGCTTTTTTCTACATCTATTGATATGATCATGTGATTTTTGTCTTTTATTTTGTTCTTGTGATGTATCACAATTATTGACTTGCAAATAGTGTACCATCCTTGCATCCCTGGAATAAAACCCACTTGATTATAGTGTATGATCTTTTTAATGTGTTGTCAAATCCAGTTTGCTAGTGTTTTGTTAAGGATTTTAGCATCTATGTTCATCAGAGATATTGGCCTGTAATTTTCTTTCTTTGTTGTGTCTTTACCAGGATTAGGATAATACTGGTTTTGTAAAAAGAGTTTGGAGTCTTCCTTATTCTTGAATTTTTTGAAATAGTTTGAGAAGGATAGGTGTTTCTTCTTCTTTCAATGGTAAAAGTCATCTGGTCCTGTACTTTTGTGTGTCTGTTGCTTTTGATTGCAGCTTTATATTTGCTAGCTGTTATCAGTCTATTCAGGTTTTCTGCTTCTTTCTGACTCAATTTTGGTTCAGTTTTGGAAGATTATATGTTTTTAGAATTTTATCCATGTTGCCTCTGTTGTCCAACTCCTTGGCATATAGTTGTTCGTAGTAATTTCACAATCCTTTGTATATTTGTGATATCAATTTTTACTTTTCCTCTTTCATTTCTGATTTTATTCATTTGAGTCATCTCTCTTTTTTTTCTTTTTTTGATGAATCTGGTTGAAGGTTTGTCAACTTTGTTTATGTTTTCAAAGAACCAGCTCATGGATTCATTGATCCTTTGAGGTTTTTTTTTTAATTCTTTATGTCATTTAATTCTGCTCTTATCTTGATTATTTCCTTGCTTCTGCTTGCTCTGGGCTTTGCTTGTTGATGTGCTTCTAGTTCTTTTAGATAGGGTTAAGTTGTTTATTTGAGATTTTTCTATCTCCTTTAGGTAGGCCTGTATTGCTATGAACTTCCCTCTCAGGACAGTTTTCTCTGTGTTCCATAGATTTTGGATTGTTGTGTTCATTTTCATTTGTTTTTAGATATGTTTTTATTTCTTCTTTGACATTATCGTCAAACCATTCATTATTTAATAATATGTTATTCAGCCTCCATTTATTTGAAATTTTTTGAGTTTTTTTTTTCTTGACATTGGTTTCTAGTTTCAAGCCATTGTGATCTGAGAAGCTGCTTAATGTGATTTCAATTTTCTTAAATTTGTTAAGGCTTGTTTTATGTCCAGTGATGTGGTCTATCTTTAAAATGGTGTGTATGCATTTGAGAAGAATGTATTTTGCTTCTTTGGAGTGAAATATTTTGTAAATATTAGTTAAGTCCATTGATCTACAGTGTCATTCAATTCTGCAATATTTTTGTTCATTTTTTGTTTGGAAGATTATCCATTTTTGAGAGTGGGCTGTTAAAATCCTCTACAATGACTATATTGTTGTCTCATTCTTAAACTCCTCCAATATTTTCTTTATATATTTAGGTGCACTTATATTTGGGTGTATGCATATTTACAAGAGTTATATTCTTTTGTTGGAAAACTCCTTTAAGCATTATATAGTGACTTCATCTTTTGTTTAGGCTTTTGTTTTGAAGTCTATTTTTGTTTGATGTATGTATTGCTGTCCCAGCTTTCTTCTCCTGTTCGTTTGCATGGAATGTTTTTTTTTCCATACCTTCATTTTCAACCTGTGTAAATCTTTTGTTCCGAGGTGGGTCTTTTATAGACAGCATATACATGGGTCATATTTCTTTTTTATTCAGCTAGCTTATATCCTTTGATTGGAGCATTTAATCCATTTATATTAAGGTTATTATTAATAGTTACTTATCCCTTGCCATTTTTTCATTTTTATCTATGTTCCTCCCTCCACCCTCTTTCTTCTTCTTTTTTAAAAAAGATTTCATTTGTTTATTTTTAGAGAAACAGGAAGGGAGGGAGAAAAAGAAGTAGAGAAACATCAATATGTGGTTGTCTCTTGTGTACCTCCAACCAGGGACCTGGCCAGAAACCCAGACATGTGTCCTGACTGGGAAATGAATTGGTAACCCTTTGGTTTTCAGGCTGGCACTGTATCCACTAAGCCACACCAGCCAAAGCTCTTCTTCTTCTTCTTTTTAAAGATTTTATTTATTTATTTTTATAGAGAAAAAGAGAGGGAGAAAGAGAGGGAGAGAAACATCAGTGTCTGGTTGCCTTTCAAGTGCCCCTACTAGGGACCTGGCCTGTTACCCATGCATGTGCTCTAGACTGGGAATCAGTGACCCTTTGGTTTGTAGACCTGCATTGAATCCACTGAGCCACCAGCCAGGGCTCTTCTTCTTAAAGCAGTTACTTTAGCATCTTTTTCAATGCTGGCTTATGGATATGTACTCTATTATCCATCCTTTGTCTGAGAAGCTTTTTATTTTGCCTTCCATTTTAACTGAGAGCCTTGCTAGATAGAGTAGTCTTGGCTGCAGTTCCTTGCTTTTTGTTAATTGGAATATTTCATGCCATTACCTTCTGGTTTGTAGTATTTCTGTTGGGAAATCAACTGATAGCCTTATCGGAGCTCCCTTATATGTTACTCTCTATTTCTCCTTGCTGCCTTTAAGAATCTCTCTTTATCTTTAAATTTTGCCATTTTGATTGTAATGTGTTTTGGAGTGGGCCTCTTTGTGTTCATCTTGATAGAATCCTCTGTGCTTCCTGGACTTATATATTTTTTTCTCTCACTTAATTAGGAAAGTTTTCTGCCATTATTGTTTCAAACAGTTTTTGTATTCCTTGCTCTTTTCCTCCTCTTTCTAGAATCCCTATGATGTTAGCATGGTTAAGTTTCATGTTTTTCCAGAGCTCCCTTAAACTATTTTTGGAATTTTTTTTATGTTATTACTCTGACTGGGTGTTTTTTCCTACCTTGTCTTCCACCTTGCTGATTTGATCCTCTGCTTCATCTAGCTAGCTTTTAATTCCTTCTAGTATGGTCTTCATTTCAGATATTGCATTCTTCATTTCCAACTGGTTCTTTTTAAGGATGCTAAGTCCTTTTTCATGCTGTGTTCCTTGTAATTCTCACTAAGTTCCTTAGAATCCTTATAACCATTACTTTGAACTCTATATCTGATAAATTGCTTACCTTGATTTCATTTAGCTCTTTTTCTGGAGATTCCTCCTTTTCTTTGGTTTGGAGATTGTTTTTTTGTCTCCCTATTTTAGTTGTCTCTGTGTTTGTTTCTATGTATAGATTGATTTGCTTTGATCTGTCTTGTGGACTGGCTTTGTGTGTTAAGGATCTTGTGGGACACAGTGATGAAGACTACTTGATCTTTTGATCTGGATGCTGTAGGAATGACATCTCTGTGGATTATATGGACTCTCTGTTGTATTTGTGTCCTGATTATATTGGCACATTCATTGGTGGGAACTCCCCTTCATCTGGCTGGCTAAGAGACTCAACCCCCTCCATGTGTTGTATGCAGTTGTAGAGGCACTAGTAGAAAAAAGCAAAGCAACACCAAAACAAATAACCTCCTGACCACCACAGCAATATCAACAACACGAGAACAAAGTATTATGAAAGTGGAAAGGGAAATGGAGAAGGGGGAAAAAAGGAAAGGAAAAAGAATATGAGAAGACCAAAGGCAAGAAAAGTGATTAGGAGAGGATAAAAGGGAAGAAAATATGTACTCACAATGAGTTGAAAAAGGAAATGGGGAAAAGGAACACAGAAAAGGTAACAAAAATAATAAATGGAGAGAAAAAGGTAACAGTGGAGTAATAAAAGATAAGAGTAGAATAGGAGATATGAAAGAAAAATTAGAGCACTAAAAATAAAAGAGAAAAATAGATAAAAAATAAATAAAAAGCTATGACAAAGAAAAAAAAGATAAGATAATGAAAAAGAGCCAGATAGATTTGTCTCAGCACAGTTTAGATCTTGCCTTCTGGTTCCTCCCTTTCGATGCCACTCTGATGTCTGAGTCTGCTGTAAGCCAATGTCAGGTGCTGTCCACTTCTGGCCCTCAGCTGAATTTTCAAAGCTATGGGCAATCCACAGTTTATGGTTGATTCCTCTGGGTCTGGCTGCTCCCAGGGTAGGCCAAGCTGCTTTGCAAAGCTGACTTTTATTTGTACTGGATCCAAGGGTGTGTCAGCAAATGTCCTAAGTCACCACAGGATCTTTCTCTGCCTGTCTCTGCCTGCTGGCCTGCTGTCAATCTTAGACTAGTCACAGACCTGACTGTTTCTGAGAGGGCTTCTGGCAGAAATAGGGGACTGTGATTCCTGGATCTCCCATGGCAGGTGCCTTTCAGACTTCAGGGAAAATGGTGAGTGTGTTCTCTCTCCCCTGAGTCACATATATGAGTTTGTCTGGGATTATTTCCCTGTACTGGGCAGGGCAAGACCACTAGTAGTGTTCCAGAGCCCAGATTTTGTGTCTGCCTGATGCCAGGAGGGTGTTTCTGTGGGCCGCCTGTGAGGAAAAAGCACCAGTCTGTTTCCCAGGATAGTGTATGATTTGGCTGTGCCTTACCACTAGGTTTTGATGACTCCTGAGTCTCTTTATGTTGCTGTCTCCTCAACAAGGGTTAAGATGTGGGATAGGGGAAAAGAAGAAAACAAACAAATAAAATGGAATACCAAGACAGAGCAAAACTGGAAAAAAGAGCAAAAAATGTTTCTGAGTGGAGCAAACAAGATTTCAGAAGTTGTGGCAAGAGATTTCCAGAAGGTCAGGGGAGCAGTATCCCACAAAATAAGGTAATTGATTTTTCTCCTCGGAGGGGTTAGCTCTTCTCAAGAAAGTTGGTTGCTGTGGAGCTCAGGTATACAGTCCCCAAAAGTCCCACAGCTGATCCCACAAGACACCCCAGTACCTCCCACTCCAGATTCTCCTTGCGCAATCCCAGTCTGTGCCACCATCCCTTAGCCAGGGCCCAAGGTGGGTAGCTGCAAACACAAAACCTGTGCTCTGTCCCTTTAAGGAATAAACAAGATGGTGAGTTTGTATCTAGTGGTTTTCATCTCTCCCCAGTGCAGACAGCTCCCACAGTGCAGATTTCTCATGTCTGGATCTGTATGCTCTAGGACTTTGTTGTGTGGGTTATGTGGACTCTTCTGTTGTATTTGGATTCTGATTTGTATTGGCCCATACATTGTTGGTAACTTTTCCCTATCTGACTGACTAAGGGGCTTGACCCCACCACAACCACCTTTGCCTTGAGAAGACTTCTAGGTATGGATTAGATCCCCAGTCAGGGCACGTACAAGAGCCCATCCATCAAGGCTTCTCTCTCACATGGACATGCCTCCACCTCTCCCCCGAATCAAATTAATTATGTCTTGTATGCATTATCTTCTTTTAAGTCTCAGAATTTCCTGATGGGGTGGGTGAAGGAAGGAAATAGTCCCACACAAACACTATAGAACCTGATGGTGGTAGGGCACCTGTGCTGCTCCCTCCAGTGAGTCTCAGCCTTGGCCTCCCACTGCTGTGCTCCTGCTACTGTCTCTGCAGGCAGCGCCACCCCGGCTGCTTCTCTCCACTCCCAGCACTCCTGGTTCTTGAGCTGACTGGCAGCCTCCTCAGCCAGACTCTGTCTGGTTTGTAGTTCCAGTGCCACCTGGGACCAGAGAGGTGATAGCCCCTGGCAAGTAGAACAGCCCCTGGGTCCTGGCTCTCATCAGTGGTGGGTATGTGGCCCAGCACTAAGGCCACAAAGTCAAGTCCAGGCACCAAGGCATGGCCGATCCAGTGGCTTCTTCCTGAGGAGGATATTGTAAATTCCACAAAATGGCTCTTGCTCCAAATCTGAGAAGCCAGAAATGTCAGGCTGGGTGACAGTGGTGGCAGGGACTCCACGAGAAGAACCTGGGCCGGCTGCCCCTGAGTGTCCTGCAGATGGACAGGCACTTGCACATTAGCACACACTCACTGCACACTCATCCGCACACATGCTCACTCACACAATTTCACACTCAGACTCAGCTGGATTTTCCAGTTGATTGCTATCTGGTTTAGCTGCAAGACCTGTCAGGCGGGAAGCAAGTAGACAGAGCTTCCAGCTACTCTGCAGCCATCTTAGAAACTGAAAGTATAATGTTATAACTTTAAGAATTTAAATGTAATTCCCATGGTAACCACAGAGGACACAGCTAAAACATACATGCAAAGAAAATGCAAGAAACGTTTAAGTGTGTTGTTACAAAAAAAATCAAATGAGCATGAAGCAATAAAATTGTAAATGAGAATAAAAATGTTATAAAGCATATAGAAAACAAACAGGACAATGACACAAGCAAGTATTTTTATCAGAAATTACTTTAAATGTGTGTAAATTAATTTTTTCAACGAAAAGAAATAGATTGAAAGAATAAAGAAAAGAACACAGTGTAAATTAAGTTGTCTACAGAGAAGTTCACCTTAGATTCAAAGACACAAATAGGTTGAAAATACAATGATAGAAAAAGTGGTACACATGTACAGTAAAACATTACTCAACCATAAAAAGCAATGAAATCTTGTTACTTGCAACAGCATTGATGGACCAAGAGGGTATTATGCTAACTGAAATAGCTCAAAAACCATATTATTTCACTTATATGTAGTATCTAAAAAAATAAAAAAAAACAGAAACAAACTCAAATACAGAGAACATTTTGATGATTGAGAAATAGGAAGGGTATTGGAGGGACTGGTTGAAAGAGGAAGGGATTAAAACATGCCAATTGGCAGTTATGAAAACAAGGGATATAAAATATAGCAGAGGAAATATAGTCAATAATATTGTAATAATTATGTAAGGTGTCAAATGGGTACTAGACTTATTAGGATGATCACTTAAGTTATATAGATATCATTATATTGTATACCTAAAACTAATATACTGTTGTATGGCAAGTTTGTTAAAAGTAAAAATTACTTTTTAAAAATATAAAAAATCAGATGCTGGTGAGGATGTGGAAAATTTGAACCCTGTGCATTATTGATGGAGATATAAAATGGAACATACACTGTGTAAAACAGTATGGTGGTAACTCAAAACATTAAAAATGAAATTACCATATAACCCAGCAATTCCACTTCTAGGTATATACTCAAAGGAATTGACAGCAGGATCTCAAAGAGATATTTATTCAGCTAGGCTCATAGCAGCATTATTCATGGTAACTAAAATGTGGACCTAATCCAAGTTGTTCATAGACAAATAAATAGGCAAAAATGTGGTATATATATATGAAATAGAATATTATTTAGCCTTATGAAGGGAAAACACATGATAAAATATGGACATTATGCTAGGTGAAATAAGCCACAAACGAGAAGTACTGCATGATTCTAATTATGTGAAGTATTTATAATTGTTAATTCAGTGACATGAATTGTTGTCAGGAAGTGACATGGTTGTTGTCAGGGGCTGCTGCATGGACAAATAGAAGTTATTTTTTAATGGGTATAGGGTTCCAGCTTTGCAGGATAAAAAGTTCTAGAAATGGATAGTAGTTTTTTACAACAATATGAATGGAGTTAATGCACTTTAAAATAGTTAAGACAGTAAATTTTATGTTGTGTATATTTTGCCAAAATAAACAATGGTAGGGAGAAAAAAGCTATTGATGTTACTGAGTAGTAGGTTAAACTTTTTTTTTTTGGAGAAAGGACATTATATCAGGGTATTAGACAAATAAATGGCACCATCAAATGAGAGAAATAGGGAGAGTTTAAGGAAATATCTTTCAAAGTGTGAGCAATTTAATTGAAACTGACAAAGATGGTGAAGCCTCCCACCAAAAAACTGGGGATGCCCTCACTACCATTTGTCTGAATGGTGAGGGAAGGAAGCAATTGTGAGGTTCCAGAAATAATAACTGGAGCTGAAAGCAGCTGGAGTAAAACAATGCAATGATCTTTGTTAGAAAAAATTAGCCAACTCAAGCCCCGCCAGGGAGGGAGCCAAGCTCATGTAAATACCAACTCAATGTCCTCCTTGGCTGCATTTTATGCTGGTTCTTCCCATTGGTCAAACCCAACCAGAAGTTTGGAAGGCAAATGAGCTCATTTGATACAGTTCATAGAAATCTCTAGATATTAACAGAACATATCCCAGGAAGAATTGAGGGAGGACTCTAGGAACTGAGGGTGGCCTTTGGCCAATAGCTGGCAAGAAGCTAAGGGTCTCAGTACAATAGCCCATAAGAAATTGAATGCTGCAAAGAGGGAAAAATTGAGAGAACTATAAGAGCATAAACAATAAAACATTGATAAAAAAAATTGAATGCTGCTGACAACCACACAAGGTTAGAAGCAAATCATTCCCCAGTTGTGTCTCACATGGAAGCATGTTCCTTTCTGACATTGTGCTTGAACTTTTTTGTGACTCTAAAGCAGAGGATCCAGCTAGGCTCGGCCCTGACCACTGACCCACAGAAATTGTGAGCTATTAAATGTGTGTTGTTTTAAGCCAAGAAAAAGGAAGGAAGGAAGGGAGGGAGGAAAGAAGGAAGGAAGGAAGGAAGGAAGGAAGGAAGGGAGGGAGGGAGGAAGGGAGGGAGGGAAGGAAGGAAGGGAGGCCAAACTGTAAAAATATATTAGCTGGAATAATGACTAAAATAACATTTTTCTCCCACTCTAATAGAACTTTTTATATACATACATTTCCTTTCAATTCTTTTTCTCCATATATCCTTTAAGATTAAAGTGTAATATTGAATGACTTTATATCACTGAAGTTCTTTTATGCCATTTTCTTTTGTTTGATAGAAATTATGGGCTAAGAGAGTTTAATGATGATTGTTTATTTCACTCATTCATGACCTTGAGTAAAGGTTAATTTAGAGGAGATAAAATGTCGGCTAAACTTTATGACATTAATTCTTGTTGTCTCACATTTCTAACCACTTAAATGGACAAAATTGGCCACATTTTGATGTAAAGAAAGTCTGTGGGTATGTTTTTTCAAACCTTTGCTTTTAGTGAGAGAATGAACATAGGTTTGGTTAAGCTGTGGTAACAAACAACCCCTCTAACCTGAGTGGTTTAACAAAATGAAGCAGAGTTTTCAATCACCCAAAGCCATCTGAGTCCAGGGCAGCCACCCTCAGTAGGAGACGTGGGCTTCTTCAAATTTTATTATGAGGACTCTTCTACAATTGACCTCAAAAGGCAAGAAAGAGCTAGAGATTTGACACTCATGATTAAACATGTCAGACTAAAATATTTCACTTCTGCTAATATTTAAGCAAGAAAAGAAAAGCACATGTCCATGCCCGATTATATAGGTCTGAAGGTTAATTCTATTGTGTCCCCAGAAAGGAGTCCTGGAAATAT